TGCAGTTTTCAACTTCTTACATGTGTGAGCAAGCTTTTTCTTATTTAACAAGCATCAAAAGTAAAGACAGAAATTGTCTTATTTCTGCTGAAGATGAAATCCATGTGTTTATCTCAAGTTTAGCCCACAATTGGATATTTGTGCAGCAAAAAACAAGCACAGGTTTCACATTAAAGAGGTAAATTTAGTTTAAGAACGCTATTAATGCACATATACGGGCCTACACATGAAACAAATATAATAAATTTGTAATCTCTGGCCTATATTTGAGCCTGAATGTGCAGGGGTTCCCCAAGGCCTGAAAAATATTTCAGGGGTTCCTCCGGGGTCAAAAAGGTTGAGAAAGGCTGCTCTAGAATGATGCCACTTCATTTCCAGTTAAAAGATCTTTAGTACAGGTGGTCCTGGTTTAACAACCACTTGTTCAGCGACTGTTCAAACTTGCAAAGGCACTGAATGAGTGGTGGCTATGACCAGTCCTCGAAGTTCTGGCCAATGCAGCACCCTCACAGTCACATGATCACGATCTAGGTGCTCAGCAACCGGTTCAGATTTCCAACTGTCGCAGCATGCCATGGTCATGAAATCGTGATTTGCAACCTTCCCTGCCAGCTTCACACAAGCAAAGTCAATGGGGAAGCCAGCAGGAAGTCAGAAGTCACAATCATGTGAGGTCCTTTTTAATAACCTGCACAGTCCTCATTAACAATAGTAACCAGGGACTGACAGAACTGCTGTCGCTAAGCAGTGTGATCACGTGACATAGTACTTTATGACTGCATTGTTTAGCGATGGAAATTCCAGTCCCAATTACTGTTGTTAAGCAAGGATTGCCTGTAATAAGGAAAGAAAGACATTTGGGAGCTTTCACCAATCACAGCAACATATTACACATGTTGAATTATTTTCAGGATAAGGGCCACACTTAGAATTTCAAAGGCACGATGAGGTACGTTCTAAAAGAAATGGACACAACTAGGATAAAAAACAAAATGTGATATAATTTATTCTCACTTACTGTTCATAACATTAGTCCCCATGCATTATTAATTTTCCTTTCTACCAACTTAAAACACAGCTAGGTGGTAGCACCTAGCTGACCTTAGTAGTTCTCAAAAGGCTACTTAGTAGTTGGACTGAAGGCCCAAGATAAATCCCAGCTTAATTTACATCACTGGTATGCATAAAAATATGCTGAAGAAAGTAATGGTATACCAGTTCCATATTTTTGCAAAAAAAAAAAAAAGTACATGGAAGTGTCTATGAAGTCAGCAATAATTGAATGTGACTTGAAGGAGACTACTCTTTTCTACCTTAGAATTACAATCTTATCGTGACTTTGTAGACCATGTATCTGTGAGACAGACAAACAAATCAAATAGCTATGGGCAGTCATTCAGATCTAAAGTAGAAAAGATGCTTTGGCAGGTACACAGGCATGCTTACTATACCTGCTGGCATTTCCTAAAAAAACAAAAAAAAGAAAAGAAAAAGTGTCTTTTCTTAGGGTCACTTTGTAGCTGCCTGGTCCTAAGATAACACTTGTTTGAGTTAGGAAGGCACTTATAGGGTTGCCATACCCTACAGTTACCTCCTGAATGCAACTGTCAGTCTCTACCATGTTAAAAAAAAAACCCTTTTTGGAATCAAATCCGAAGAATTGCATACTCTAATAGCTTTTAGAACTGAGCATGCATGTATTTTTCCCCCTCTATGTAGCATGAATTAAGCAAATATTCATTCACAATTTTTTGAATGTAGCTAAGAAATGTATCATTCTTGGCTGAAAAAAGTACTTATTTTAGTAATCTTGTTGAGAATTTTGAATGAAGCCAAGAAACTGACATTAACCTGTACAGATAAGTGATTAAACTATTTTTTTAAAATAAAATCTAACAAAAAAATAAATCAGAAAAGAGAATTTATGATCAAAGCTGTTCATTTCGCTATTTTCAAATTACCACATTAACAGCTGTCGCTTTCTACAACACAGACTACTGAAGAAACAGGCTGTTCCACAAATACTTTTCATTATACTTCTGGTATAAATACAATAATGGAAAAAATGGAACTGTGATAAATTGATTATCTTGCAACAGACTTGTCTTTTAAATGGGAAATATTAAAATTATGTAACAATGAATTTGTGGTAAAACCACAGAATGGAACCTTATATGTATAGCCCTATTTGAATGATTAATTCAGTTTGAATGTTTATTTAACAGAACATTCTGAGCCAAAGATAAGAGAAGTTTTGTTCCCATTTTTATTTTTTATATAATCAACTATCATTACTTCCAACTAAGTAATCTTAATTCTTAGAATAAGATATCTGCTTTTCCTTCAATGTAAGAAAGGCTTGAACATTTCTGTACAAGTTAAATGTTTTTAAAAAATGTATATTAAATTATGTTTACCAATGACAAAAATTCCACAAGTGAAAACATGTAAGACCTCTGATTTATAGGTACTTTGCAAGTATCTATTCTCAGAATACACAGGTCAATCCATGGTTGTGAACAGGGCATGGAAACTTTTGCTATAAAATTCATGTGTACTTTGTTTTATAATATCACTGTTTCTGGAGTCAAATATTAAAATAGTGATATAAAAATAGTAATATAATTAAAATTATTTTTCTTTTACAAAATATTCAGTTAGTAAATATTCTGCTATCTAATTTAAAAATGACTGCATCTTCCCATGAGAATACAATTTTATGTCTTTTTGTAGAATGAGAATATGCAAGTATTATTTGGTTCTATATAAACTACACTGAAATGAATTACATTTAATATTTCATTAGTAAGAACTATTGTCAGGTGTAAGGACTACTGTTGGCCTTCAAACAGATGAGAAGAAATGAAACAAACACCTTCACTTCCTTAGTAATATGCATAATGTAAGATTTAACTGATATTTATAAAATTATGAACTATGTGGATATAATTATATCCAAACATTTTTCTCTAATCCAATAAAATTGATAAGAAGGTTCAAAATAATCAGCATGGATTCATATATATTATATCAGAACTGATTCAGAGAGAAAAACAAGAATATGAAATTGTTATCTCTTATCATGCTATGTTGGAGACCTTAAGGTCAGTGGGCTTTCCTGACTTGCATACAGAATGCTGATGGAACAGACAAACCAATTCTTATTTTCTCAGTACAAATCAAGACAATTGGTACAAAATAAAATGCCTAATCATAAAATACATACCATTTGACTGCTAAATTTTGCACTTCGCCGTTTTTATCTTCCAGCAACTTCAAAATCATTTTCACAACCTTCCTTTCACTATCATCATCTAACTTGATAGAATCTTTTTGTAGTTCAGTCATCAAGTCATTTGTTGCCATAAACCTTTGTTTTTAAAAAAAAGTCAATTCAGTTAGCAGTCAGTTTTGCATCGGTCTAATAATTAATCTCCATAACTTCGAATATGTTAGACTTCATGTGAAATAAAGTAATTACTTCCATATTGGAGAAAAGACTTCATAATGAGAGAGAAAGAAATGAGGAAAAAAAGCCTGTTCCAACAAATTGTCTTCTCTCACCTACACAAGACCACCAATTATCAACTGTCCTAAGAAAATGAAAAGGGAGGCACAGATAACACCAAATATCTATTATTGTTCAACTTTTCAACTAGTTTTCAAAGAAAGTCCATTAAGTAAATATTTAAATAAGTAGCAACAGTGGAAAGCAAAAAAAAAAAAAAAAAAGGCATTATGACATTAGCTATTTAGCTATTCAGATAAATAGTAAACTGAAAGACTTGATTACATCTGAAAAATCAACTACTTCATCATGCTATTAGGAAAACAAATCACAAGATCAGCGAATCGGAAGGAATCAGATTGAGTCTTTGCCTTTGTTTGATGCATTGGTCTAAAACAGTGTTTTTCAAACCAGGCAACTTTAAGATGCTGGCTAGGGAATTCTGGGAGTTGAAGTCCAAACTTCTTAAAGTTACCAAGTTTGAAAAATGTTGGTCTAAACTAAAGCAGTACAACAACTATCTATCTAGCATCTGTTTTAACACATCCAACTATTTTAAAGAATGTTTACCACCTCCTTCATTAATCTTACATTCTTACACATTTTGTATTTATTTCACCATCTTTATATATTACTTACACGCTAAATTTTAGATGATTCTTAGGAACATCAATGTATTAAACCATATAAAACCAGTCATTAAAATAAGAAATAATACCAAATTAAACACAATGTTCAAAATCGTAAATTGAATAAAAACTCTAAGCTCATAAATGTACATACTGTTCCAAATGCTTTTTAGACATGCCCTTTTTACTGCTTTCTATTATGTTATTATTTAGGAGGCCACCCAGATCTCAAAGGAAGCTTGTTTCAGAGGGATGAAGCTGCCATTAAAAAGACTGGAGTCCAGCCTTTCAATCCCCATCTCCTGAGGTAAGGAATCTGTAACGTCCCCAGTTGGGTTGAACAAACAGGATGGGCAAATTCTGTTTGGAGGAGATAGTCCCAGAGATAAAATTACCACTACCATTAGAAAGCGTTTTTTCCCTAAAATTCAACTGAAATTTACCTTCCTATAATTTAACCAGTATTCCATGTCTTATATCCTGGGATGACAGAATTTATTTTGATAGAAAACAATAGCCTTTTTCTATGTATCATTTCCCTAAATACTTGAAGGATGCTATCATATTCTCACTCCTTTTCTTTTTTTAAGGCTAAGCATATCTACCTTCTCAAACTCTCTTCACTGGATGTATCCATTCATTGCATGTGTTCAGGTTTCTCTAAATCTCCATTTCAACCAAAGGACTAATCTCAGCCCGAAATACACTAATTGTACGTAAAGAACCATTAACATTTTAAAATGTAAAATGGATTAAGTAAACTTGAGAACATAAATATGGAGACACACACACACACACACACACACACTATAAAATCACATACAGTTTGTAAATTAAATATTAAGTTGCATGTTCCATCTATAATTAGGTAGAAATAGGGGAATAGCATAAAAGCTAATATTAAACAAAATGGCTAAGGAAAAAAAAAAGAACTGCTCATGATATAAGATACCAAGGAACCTCACATAACCTAAGTTGGTAAAGTCGGGTGATCTAGTGAGGTGGCTCTGTTATTTTTAACATCTCTTTGCTTACTATTTTTTGTTTTAGATTGGTTTTTATATTTTATACTTTTTAATGTATTTACTGATTTTTTTTAACCCTGTTGTATGCTGCCCAAAGTTGCTTGGAAAAAGTGAGATGGGCAAATAAATAAATAATCTTCAAAAATTAAGATTTTAATAGGTACCATTTCTTACCTCTCTCTGCATGACTCTAAAGTTACAGTGGGAAACTAGAGTTGATTCAGTCTTTTTGTCTAGCTGAAGGATGATCTAGCCATGTGACAAACTGTGGACTCTATGTGAACTTAAATTTTAGAAGAAATTAATGAACAGTTTGAAAAAGGTTTATCCCTCTCCAAAGACGAATACTTCTATGACCATTCAGAGTAGGATTTATTAACAGAGGGTTATCGGAATGTAATCACCTTAGAAATACATAACAAAGCAAGCCTAGCACTCTGCCCTATCTTATATTATTGGAGGGGTAGAGAAGAATCCATCCATCTAATTACACACCATTTTATTCTTTATACCATTTCAAATTTAAGCCTAACACATTCTTAAATTATTGGTAAGATATTAAATAATACTTCTAAGATTATCACTAATAGAATTTTTACCACTGTTACATTCAACTTAAATGCAACTAAAAGCTATTAAATATATTATTTTTTTTCCTGTAAAACAACAGTAAGTTATGACTCGCAACTACTATAAAATCCTATTCTGTTGAACGAAGGCTAAAAGTAAGTCCCATTATGCACATGTTTTGAAGAAATATTTAGGACAGTTTTTCCAATTTGCTGTTATCCAGATCTACTGAAATTACAACAGAAAGAATTAAGGACATATGTGGCAGTGGAAGTCATCACATTGCAGAAGGATGTCCATGTTGTATAAAAAATGTAATTGAGATGCATTTATGAGAAAAATAAATGCCCAATTTCCCTCATGACTTCAAAGTTTCTTTTTTTAAAGATAAACATCATCTCTGCTATTAGAAAGAAGCCAAAATAAGGAAAGTGTGACAATATCACACAGAAAAACAATAGGTATAAAGAGCCGATGTCTTCTGACCATGGGCATGTAGTACTATGTGAACAAATGCCATAGTCATGACTTAAATGTTTGCCTCCTTCAACAATCACTCTGAAAATGATACATTGTTTTTTTTTTAAACAGCATCTCTTCTCATATGCACAATGTACGGAAGCATAATGCATTTGAAACAGGAGAGAATGAAAAGGCTTACAAAAGCCTGCTGCACATGTGAGAAGCATGCAATATTCATGCATTTTTAAATGTTGTATTTTACTACTGTTTCACTGTGTAATATTTTATTTTTATTATTATGATTGCTATTACCTGTCTTGAGCACCATATGAGGGGAAGGAATAATACAAATATAATTGTAAATATTAGATGACTACTTCCATGCTTCTTTTACATACAAATATCCAACTTTCTTTCAATTAATCACAAAGTGGCGTCACTTTGTATAACTGTATTTTAAATTTAATTAATATTTTAAAATCTTTCTGATATTAGGACCTGCCCTGGTCTTGCTGCATTAAAATCTAAAAGAATACATTTATAAATCTGATTCTAGTTTGACTTTGGTACTGACACTGGTGAAGACACATCTATGTCATGATTAGTATTGAAGTTGAAGAAGACAAAGCTACATCACAGTTAAATTGAAATAGAAAATGAGAGTTTATGCATGATAAGGAAGGATGAAGTATGCATTTGATTCCATATTTAACTTCAGGAAACAAGAAGTACTTTACATGTTGTATATATATAAAAAGTTTTATGTAACAGTAAACAAGTAAAAACATAAAATATTGGAAAAAAATATGAACTGGGCAATTACATGTTAAAAGATACTCATAGCCAAATGATAGAAGAATAATCAGGGAATACCTGCAGTTGACTCATACATATTTTCAGAAATGAGTAACTCCACAACTAGATAGCAAAAGACTGATCTTCATATAGAGTCAAAGTAGCTATAACTTTCCCAATAACTTAACTATCCTTAAGAGATCAGGGTCAGGCCATCCTAACTCTTGCTAATCTCCTAAAAAGTTCTCTCCATTTTTTGACAATGCTAAGTAAAATATAATTACAGATTATTAAGATTGCACAAAATACTCTGTGCAAACCACTATGTTATGGTGACATGATATATTATCATGTAAGTGAAGGACAGGAAGGCCTGGCGCAATATGGTTCATGGGGTCACGAAGAGTCGGACACGACTTAACGACTGAACAACAACAACAGCCTGGACTCATATTTCTGGCTATGTGGTGATTTGTTTAACAATGATTTGTTGAACAATCTATAAATAGCTAAGTAATATTCCCAGTTTTCAAGGTCACTGGATTCAGACAACACACTAAGGTATAATGAAACAACTTTTAGTGCTACGTGTTATACCAGAAACAATGTGCATATTACTACTTATGTTCAAATGCATTCTCAGTAGAAATTTCATTCCGCAAATGAATGCATAAATTAGTTTGTAATGTATAATTTAATGGAATCAATTCTGCCAATGAATAGCAAATCTTAAGAAAATACGAATATTAAAGCCTTATTTATTATAAGATATGCTTAACAACAGAGTTATAAATGATCAATCACTGTCCTGTCTGTACTGCTGTATCATGACATATTGTAGTTGAATTTAATGTCCTTTTAACATAAAAATAATTTTCTGTGTCCCTATTTGATTTAAATATTGGCGCTAAGAGAAGAGAATCATTTATTTCACTCAGCAAATATGGAGAGGGGATTTTCAGATATATCAATCTTCTATAATAAAAACTGGGAATATATTCTTAAGAATATCAAAATACAATAGAACAGGAAAAATGAGCCTGCTTTAAATTATGCATCAGCCCAACTTTGTGCCTTTTCAGAAAAAGTGTTTTAATTAATTTAATCTGTAACAGCAAGATTTTCAGCAGCTTGCAAAACTTGTCCTATTTTACTGCAGTATTAAAAATATTAATGTACAATCTGTCATGCACAGAAGCCTTGGATGGGATATACACTTAAATCCTTTTGCCTCTTGTATCAAATGAAAAAGAAGTGAGATATTGTAATGTTCAATAGCAGCAACATCTGTGTCTAAGCCAAGATTTCAGCTAGTTCAAACTAAAATTCAGTATTTATTATAATTTTTTAAAATACACGTTTCAATTGTTAACACAAGGAAAATTACATTGATACATTAGAAACAAATTTCAAAGAGAATAAAATTTAAAAAGATGCTGAACTAATCACAACTGCTTCTCTACTCTATATACACAAATTTAAACATTTTGTTTTACAAGATATTTTAACTAGGACTAAAATTAAAAATAGAATTGGCTACAATCTAAACACAAGTAAGAGTCCTGCTGGCAGAAAACCAGCTTCTATGACAAATTACCGTGTACAAAAGTAATAGAGGGTGTAGTAAAGAGACGGAATGGGGTTAACAAACTTCCAGACAACTTTCAGGGGAAGAGGGCCGACTCAAGGCCTGGCTCCAAATCGCAGCTTATGCGGACTCCAGGCAAGGCATAATAAGGCCAGGGTCGGGGCCTCAAGTTCTCCTGCTTTGACGGGCCTCAAACCAGGCAAAAGGCAGGTTGGGTGGGGCACAGCCACCCAAGGTAGAGGCAGAAGCAGCTCCGGCAGCTCGGGCCTGTCCGCTGTAAAGCACCCCAGCGAGAACATGCGAAGAGTCCTTCGGTGTAAGATGGAAAGACTACCTACTCAATAGTAGATAGGCCAGCCTCGGCCTCTTACCTGAAGTCCTTGTCACTCGACGTCATTTTCTCCAGCAGGTTGGAGATGTGGTACGAGGCACTCGCCATGATGATGGTCCCGGTGAGGGAAGCGTTTGGCCGGCTCCACGTCGCCCAGTGCTGTGTGCGGGGGAAAGAGAAGGTGAAAAGGGGGGAGTTAGGGCTCTGCCTGGCAAGAGAGAGTGGCGGCGGCCGGCCGGCGGGGGCGGGCGGGCGCTGGGGTCCCGCGGGTCGCTCCCGGGCGGGGGG